TTAGAAATGGCTGAAGTTAGTGAGTGTTAACATCAATGTCTAGCTGGTGAGCAAGAATGATGACGGCTGTATTAGTTAACCTTCAAGTCATTATTAAGTGACTCAATCTAATGAGCCAAGTAATCTCTTTCTGTATAAAAGTCTATTAAACAAATTACAAGGTCTTGGGAGCAACTCACCAGGCAAAGAAAATCTCATACATGTAAGAACATTTTTCTTCAAATACTAAAAAACGATTAGAATAAATTTAACATCCACTGGTATTTAATTTTCTTTAAATTTCTTGACAAAACTGGCACTAACTTTGAGGGCAAAACAAGATTAAATCAATCACAAGTATGACTGCATAGGATCATCTTTATTGCTATATTGGAGTTCCAGATAATATCTGAAAAATCCTAATTATTTGGTGGCTTTTTTTAATAACTAAATATCAGGCCAGGTGTGGTGGCTCACACCTGTAATCCTAGCACTCTGGGAGGCCGAGGTGGGTGGATCGCTCAAGGTCAGGAGTTTGAAACCAACCTGAGCAAGAGTAAGACCCTGTCTCTACTAAAAATAAAAAGAAATTAATTGGCCAACTAAAAATACATAGAAAAAATTAGCTGGGCATGGTGGTACATGCCTGTAGTCCCAGCTACTCGGGAGGCTGAGGCAAAAGGATTGCTTGAGTCCAGGAGTTTGAGGTTGCTGTGAGCTAAGCTGACGCTATGGCACTCTAGCCTGGGCAACAGAGTGAGACTCTGTCTCAAAAAAAAAAAAAAAAATTAAATTAAATTAAATTAAAATTAAAATTAAAATTAAAAAAAAATCATAGGCTGGGCACAGTGGCTCAGACCTGTAATCCTAGTACTCTGGGAAGCGGAGGCAGGAAGATTGCTTGAGGTCAGGAGTTTGAGACCAGCCTAGGTGAGATCCCGTCTCTACAAAAAAATAGAAAAATTAGCTAGGTGTGCTGTTGTGTGTCTATACTCCCAGCTACTTGGGAGGCTAAGGCAGGAGGATCACTTGAGCCCAGGAGTTGGAGGTTGCAGTGAGCTATGATGACACCACTGCATTCCAGCCTGGCAACACAGCGAGACTCTGTCTTTAAAAAAAAAAAATCACAAAATGTGAAGCCACTCTATCCTCAGCACCCAGGCACTCAGAAACACCAGTGTTTGGCAGGGCGCGGTGGCTCACGCCTGTAATCCTAGCACTCTGGGAGGCCGAGGCGGGCGGATTGCTTGAGGTCAGGAGTTCGAAACCAGCCTGAGTAAGAGCGAGACCCCGTCTCTACTCTAAAATAGAAAGAAATTAATTGGCCAAATAATATATATAGAAAAAATTAGCTGGGCATGGTGGCACATGCCTGTAGTCCCAGCTACTCCGGAGGCTGAGGCAGAAGGATCGCTTGAACCCAGGAGTTTGAGGTTGCTGTGAGCTAGGCTGACGCCACGGCACTCACTCTAGCCTGGGAAACAAAGCAAGACTCTGTCTCAAAAAAAAAAAAGAAACACCAGTGTTTAAGGTTCACAGTGGTTATCTAATCTGAGATTCCCCTGAAGAGGGAGCTGTGGCCGGGGCAAAGGACTCAAAAGCTAGAATGAAAGTTAGCATGTAAACTTTATTAGGGTGATTTTTTTGCTTTCATTTTGTTCACTGCCTTGCTTCCACAGCCCCTAGAACAAGGTTGGAACATAGTAGGTGTTCAGTTAACACTATAAAATAAAAGCCTGTCCTGAAAGGTCCTTTCCAAAGTTGGGAGTAACCCATACAAAGAACATTCTGAGTTTTATAATCGGAGAAAGAAGGCACCCACTATAGCCCACACTGGGTCATTGAAATGTTTTGATGTAGAAAAAAATCACAGTGCTTATCATAGCAAATCTAGTGAGAAGAATGGCTTGATTTTACATTTTAGCAAATCTTTTTAATGTCTGCTTCTACATTCAGTCAGTTACACATACATAGCCTTTGGAAAATTTTGCTGCACACTCGTAAGAGAATGAAGATGGAAAAAGCAAATATCATTTTAATACTGTAAATAGTTCTGATTTCATCAGTCCCTGAAAGGGTCCCAGGAGCTCATGGGTCACCATTTAAGACACTGTTTCAAAAGATATGTACAGTAAGAGCCATAACTTTGATCAACATACAGAATCAATTCTCAAGCAAGGGAAAGAAGCTTTAAAAAAAGACAGAGGGAAGAGAGAGGAAAACACCACTGACTACTACATGCAGCCACACTTACAGGAAAGCCAAGACATTTTAACAGCACACTTGTTACTTTAAATGTCGCTTACTCTTTGTACTTCACCATATTTCAATAGAAAATGAATTGCTATCTGAAGAAAAGAAAAGCCAATGCTTTTCTCTGACAAGACAGACCTCAGAATAAAAACCATATACTATAACTCCTTCCAATTCCTACATAAATGTCAATTGTTAATGTACATTTACTTTTTAGGCCATTACTTATAAGTGACATTCTAATTATAAGACCCATAAGTCACCTTTCTCCTGGCTTTTCTTCTCTTGCACAACTTTCTGCTGACTGTCATTCAAATATTATTTAACAGGACAAAAGAGCAATTTCCAATTATCAATCAGTTCCAAACTGCTGCACAGTTCAATCTTTCTGTTTGCATGTTTCTACGAATAGCTGCTAAATGGTAATCTACAAATCAACACACTCTAATCCCTTCTAAACGTGTATTGTTCTTTAGCTAGTTCAGGTGATTTTTGTCTATTACAATTTGGAATGAAGCAAAACCGCTGTCCACATTTAAGTATGGTCAAGAAAATTATTTATGAATAATCACCTCACATCATTTTTCCTGTACTTAAGAAGACACATGATTTCAAATTTTCCTTCCCACAGGCAAGTAAAAACAAATTAGTTATGGTAACTTTTTTAGGAGATATTTGGTTTTCATGTCTTAAATTCATACCCACCTTAGCAAACCTTTTAAGAGTTTATTATCTTGGCCAGTACTCCCCTGGTCAATAATATAGGCCTAGGTTAAAATCCTGAAGCTGCCACTTATAATATGACTGAGCAAGTTACTTAATCTTCACCTCACTTTTCTCAGCCTTAAGATGAAGATAATAACCGTATCTACCTTATAAATGGATGACAGGATTAAATGAGATGACAAATAAATGAGGAAAGCACTTAACACATTGCCTGACATGCACTAAATACTCAGTAAATGTTAACTTCTGTTTTTTTTGTTTTTTTGTTTTTGAGACAGAGTTTCACTCCATTGCCTGGGCTAGAGTGCTGTGGCATCAGCCTAGCTCACAGCAACCTCAAACTCCTGGGCTTAAGTGATCCTCTTGCCTCAGCCTCCCGAGTAGCTGAGACTACAGGCATGCGCCACCATGCCCAGCTAATATTTTCTATATATTTTTGGTTGGCCAATTAATTTGTTTCTATTTTTTTAGTAGAGACAGGGTCTCACTCTTGCTCAGGCTGGTTTCAAACTCCTGACCTTGAGTGATCCTCCTGCCTCGGCCTCCAAGAGTGCTAGGATTACAGGTGTAAGCCAGTTAACTTCTGTTTTTATATTTTAGTCTTCTAAAACAGCCTCACTATAGTCACAGCAGATAGAATAGTTTATAATAATCTAATAGAGGCTCAGAACAATTCGAGAAGGAAATATTAATACTAAAAAAGATTATTTTTTTCCAAATATCCTTCCTTCTTAAAATAGGTAATGGTCTGCAGCACCTAAGAAAGTGCTGACAAGCCATGGAAGAGATCAAAGACATTTTCAAAACTACTGATTCTGTGCAACAAGAAAAAAGGAACTTCAAGAAAGCTTGTCCTTCAAAATAGATTGACAGAATCTTAACAGAATCAAATGACACAGCTATCTAGAAACAAGAGAAATTGTACATCCTGCGTTGACAAGATATTTTTACAGGCAAAGTGAAACTATGATAGCCTGAAGATATGCAGTAAGAGGTGAAGGTGTATAACTATTCTTACACATAGTATAGCAGCATACTTACAAATGAAGCCAAAAATAAAACTATTCATTAAAAACTTTTTAAATCTTTTGCCACCAGGGTTAACTTTATCTGAGATGGTTTAACTCTTGGAGTGTATCAGAGAAAAATTCCTGTGTGGATGGTTGGTACGTAAAAATGCTAAGTGGGATATATATGAGAATTGTAGCTAACATTTACTGAACACTTTCCATGTTCCAGACATTAAAGTTTTTTATATGGAATAACTCATTAATTCTCATCATCACTATGAGATAGGCATTTTATTATCCCCACCTTATACCCACAAAATTGAGGCACAGAGAGATTAACTTGCCCAAATGTCAAATTAATAGTGGCTGGTTAAAAATAGTCTGGCTCTAAGCCCATGTTTTTAACCACTAGGCAAAGAAGGTTGTACAAATACATGCCATACACTTATATATTCTGGGAAGGGGCTAAGATTCATGTAGAGGGTTTTGGCTATTGATAATGTTTGAATTACTGACAATAAGAATGTAAGGATTTGTGTAAATATTTTTTATATCTCATAAAAATTAGTCAAAATTGTATTGGGCTACCTGTGCAATTCTATTTGATTTACCACCTGACACACATCTGTACTTGCTCAAATGAACAGGATCCCCATGGTAGGACTAACATCACAGTAGCTGACAGTGTTTTGTGAAAAAGAAGGGGTTGATAAGTATTCTTGACAGGTCATGACAGACATGGTCTCTATCCAATAAGTTTCAAGACCTATCCTAGACTTGTTTTAGTTAATTCATGAAGTTAATTCATGGTATTGAAAAATTAGCTGAAGTTAATTCATGGTATTGAAAAATTCACAAGCTTAAGAGAGAAGCAAGTGGTAAAAGTTCAGAACAGGGATAAAACAAAGATAGTGATTAATCATTTACCCTAACAGTATGCCAACCTCAGCCACATACTACAGATTGGCCAAACTTCATACTGTTATGAATAGTTTTCATTAAAAATTTTTTTATTATAGTTTCATTTCTTACCCATTAAACAAGTTTTTCCCATCTTCTTCCATATTATCCCACAGTCATTGGTTAGGTTTCCTCTTCTCTATTACCTATGGAGAGGGGAAACAATCTGTAAGGCTGGGCTAATATATGGCAAGAAAAAAATAATTTCATTAATTTTATTTATAAATTCAAAAAAGGATCAATAATATTACAATGCAGTGAATCCTCTACAAATCCTCAAAAGTGATATAAGAGTATAAAAAACTGATTTTTTTTTTTTTTTTTGCTAAGAGCAACCAAAGATTCAGTCACTTATGGGTAGACTGATCCATAAACAGAAGTATTAAAGGTTTACTACCTGAAAAAATGTACATCTGAATTTGTTTTAGGTTTTAAAGATTACACACTGTCTTTGTATATATCCTAAAACTGTCAGAAAAAAAAGTTCATGGTAATGAAAACACAAGTATCAAAAGCTAAAATTATTTTTGTGTAAGTAAAATATATAATACAAGATGATATGAGGTGACTCTTTTATGCTAAGTGGGTTTACAGTCTTTATGAAAGCAGCATGCTTCTTTAAAAGCAAAATATATTCTGCTTTAGGACACTGTATTAGCCAAAGATATCTAGAGTTTATGATTTAGATAAATTATATGTATAATCATTTTTTAGGTTTCTGATACTTTAGGAAGCAGGACTTGATAAAGCTCAAGACTGGTATGCTCAGCCACCATGTAACAGAATGAAAAATTCTTTATTTTTTTTGAGACAGGATCTCACTCTGTCACCTGGGCTAAAGTATAGTGGCCTGATCATAGCTTACTGTGACTGTGAACTCTTAGGCTCAAGTAATCCTCCTGCCTCAGCCTCCCAAGTAGCTGGGACTACAGGTTTGTGTGACTACGCCCAGCTTATTTTTTGTAGAGACAGGGTATCACTATGTGACCAGGTTGGTCTCTAACTCCTGGCCTCAAGTGATCTTCCTGCCTTGGCCTCCTAAAGCACTGGGATTACAGGCATGAGCCACCACATCTGGCCCCCCAAATTCTCTACTTTGCCATACTAACAGCCAACAAAAGAATTCCTCTTGGAAGAAACTTTGTGAATATATGTTCCCATAATATGGGCCCCCAACTCTCATGTTCACTCCCCTTAGAGTGTGTGGTTCCCTGCAGAATGGCTGTCAAGATCCCAGAATAGTTGCCAAGAAAGGGAAACTGCTCTGCAATAGAAAAGGGGAAGAATTGTTTCATCTCTGAAAGGAATGGGGAAAAGAATGACGAGGTGAGAGAATGGACAAGGAAGAGTTAGTGTAATGGAGCAAAGCTGGGATTTGGTGGGGGTGAGCCTCTCCAGTCAAGAGAGGTCTGAAACATTTTAAGAATGGGGATGCCTTACTAGGGAAGTTGTTTACATTAATGCAAAATAAGGCTCATTCTATCTTTTTCTCCCTTTCTTCAGTTAGGTATACAAAATCCATAAATGCCCTGTGTGAATAGGGCCTTCCTGAAAATCAGAGGCGGTGGCAAGTTTCACATCTGGGTGCACTATGGCACAAATAAGTGGCATAAGGCAAGAAAGTACAGGCCAGGCGACAGAAGAGACTGCAAGATCATGAAGCCCAGGCAATACACAAATATTCTTAGGGAGAGCTTACAACTTCCACAGTTTTTGGGTTAGGGGGTTCTGAGACAACCTTATCCATGAAAAGCTAAGCTGACACTATATATATGTGAGTTTCACATCCATAAAATGTCCCTCTTTCCTATCCAAATGACCCTAGTTTCAATATAAAAACACTAAAAACTTTAAAAGTAACTTAATTGCATTTAAATCCAAGTTATTTTGATAATTTTGGATGCTCCCCAAAATGTGACTACAGGCCGGGCACAGTGGCTCATGCCTGTAATCCAAGCACTCTGGGAGGCCAAGGAGGGAGGATCACTTGAAGCCAGGAGTTCTAGACCAAAAGCTGACTAAAATAATCAGTTCTATATTAAGTACCACCTAGGATATGTAACCACATGGAGTTTAGGCTTAAAGCCCCAGGAAATAGTTATTAATATGAAGAATAATGACTTCAATAATTACAATAGCAATTTTGAAAACTGGGAAATTATCATAAGTCAGCTCAGTTCTGAAAACTATTAATAAGACTCCATACATTTAAATATTTTCTATCGAGGGCTCACTTTTACATCATTTAAACTTCTGAAAAATACTTTTGAATGGGAGGGAAATGAAATTACAGATATATAAAACGTATCACTACAGTAGGAACAAACTAAAAATGTGGATGACATCCCTTTAAATGGTCATGGGAAATCAGGTCCCGAACAGTCAGGAAAGCATATTCCAAGCTTACCTATTAGTGAAACATGCTGAAATCTCAGGCTGTCTGGTGTCATGCAAGGCAAGAGTGCAGGATGTGGAGTAACAGAGACCAGTTATCACCATGGTGTCCATTCATTAGTATGAGACCTTACTTAACTTCTCTGGACTTGTTTTCTAATCTACTTCATAGCACTGGTGTAAGGATTAAATGAGAATTCAGGTAAAATACTAGTACACTGCCTGGCACATAGCTGATGATCAATAAAGGTTTAGTTTCCTTTCTATATCTTTCTACCTTTAGAGCAATTTTCAGGGCTTGAAAATGAGAAAATCCATTCTTGAAACCTTACCCACTTATTCTTATTCTGCCAAATAACAACAATGATGATGATGATAGCTATTTACACTTAACCAGCCTTTAAAAAAATTTTTTTTATTTCAAAATATTAAGGGGGTACAAATGTTTTTGTTACATGGATACCTTTTATAATGCTTAGGTTGGGGCTTTTAGTGTACCCGTCACCCAAATAGTGTTCACTGTACCTGACAGGTAGGTTTTTACCCCTCCTGTTTTCCCCTCCCCACTTCTTGATTTCAAATGACTTTTACATCTCTTTGTGCCCATTGATTAGTTCCCAATTATTAGAGAGTACATGCAGTATTTGTGTTTCCATTCTTGAGATACCTCACTTACGATAACGGTCTCTAGTTCCATCCACGTTGTTGCAAATGACATTATTTCATGCCTTTTTATGGCTGAGTAGTAGTACTCCATGGTATATATAGACCACATTTTCTTAATCCACTCATGAATTGATGGGCACTGAGATTGATTCCACATCTTTGCAATTATGAATTGTGCTGCAATAAACATTCGAGTGCAGGCATCTTTTTGATAAAATGACTTCTTTTCCTTTGGGTACATACCCAGTAGTGGGATTGCTGGGTCAAATTGTAAGTCTATATTTATTTCTTTGAGGAATCTCCACACTGTTTTTCCATAGCACTTACATAGCCTTTAACACGTGCCAGACACTCAATCTAAGTGTTTTTACATATGTTAACACATTCAGTCTTCACAACTATGAGGTAGATATTTTTATTCCCATTTCACAGGTGAGGACACCATGGCACAAATAAGTTCCATACTAATAAGTGGCAGAGCTAGGATTCAAACCTATGTTTCTGCTCTCAAGTAATACTAGCACCAAGAACTAATGTCAAGGTGATAGCAGCAATGCCATTTCTTTAAGAGCTCTCTAATATCAATGTAGTCAGGTAGGGAATGTTCAGATGCCTTAGCAAGTAGAATAGATCTGTTATCTTAAAAATACATATAAATATATAACCTATATATTTTTAAAATATAGCTTATATATTTTAAAATATATTTGTATATTATATTTCAAAATATTTCAATATATTATATATATTTTATAATACATTTTTTCTTTCTTTCTTTTTTTTTTTTTTTTTGAGACAGGGTCTCACTCTGGCAACTAGGCTAGAGTACAGTGGTGCTATCACAGCTCACTGCAGCCTTGAACACCTGGCCTCAAGCAGTCCTCCCCCCTTGGCCTCCCAAAGTGCTGAGATTACAGATGTAAACCACCATGCTTGGCCTCTATTTTTTCATTTTTTAAGCTTTTATTTACCAACAAAGCAAAAAGTACTAAATCTAATATATTTTTTAAAGTTTAAAAAGTTGACTAAGAGAATATTAATAAATTTAAATCAGAAAACATATTTAACCAGGATTACTTCTTTTACAGCAAGTTCAGTAATGAGGCACATTCCAAAATACAAACATGTATTATCCTCGTATGTTGTACCTTGTCTATAATGCCTTCTCCTGTAAGCTCCTGGAAGATAGCAATAGCATTTTGTTTTACTTATTGTGAATATCTCTGGTGTCTAAAATAAAGTGCCTAGTCCTTTACTAGGTGTTCCATGACTACTGATGAAAGAATGAAGTGGCTGGATGTTAAACATGGACAAAAATTTCAAGTCTACCTATTATTCCATTTACATCCTAAAGCACTAACAAACTAGCCTTATTTCTCACCACCCGTTTACTCCAGAATTGTACTATGAGCAAGGCTTTGCTGGATTTAAGTGCTTTCCTTGACCCAGTCACATTTTGGGCCTATCCCAATATATAAGCTCACATAGCAAAATGTCTTATGAGAAAAAGTCTCGAGTATACAATTAGAAGATTTATGCATGAATAAGAGCAAAACATATGTTATAGCACTTTATGGTTTTCAGAATGCTTCCATACATATCCCCCAGGTGCCTCAAGTCAGCCCTGACAGTAGGCAAGGCAAGTGTGATAATCAAGGATAATCTAATACTGACTGTGTTGGAATGGAAACATATCCTCATTGTCACTGCCACTGAACCAATGGCTCAAAACATGAGTTAGATGCTTTCTCTGCATTTCAGTAGAAACTCTGCGAACACAACATATTTTTAAGTCAATGTCATAAATGATTATTTTTAATAATAAGTGATCAGTCATCTAATCAAAGTCAAGACAGGCTAAAACCCTTGGAAGATACAAAGCAGAGGAAACTCACACAACTAAATAAAGAAAAATTTTACATGCATCCACAGCTAAATAAGGAAACCTTGTATAAAATTTTAAGGAGACCACAATCAACAATTACAATTAAATCTCTCTTGGCTGCTAAATTAGGAAGATCAGCATTGAATGACAGAAAGAGAACTAGACTTAGGTAAGGAAGCCTGGGTTTCAGTCTGCCACTGA